TCACAAGGAGAATGAAAAATTTTACTTCTAATACAGTTTATCATGATACTGATGCCATAAACTGTGGTTCTTTTTAAATATAACTTACAAAAGAAGACAATGTCTTAGATCACTTTTAGATAAAAATTCCAAACTGTACCTAAAAATATGTTTATGGTATGAGAATTATTCCTATAAATTTAACAGGCAGACACACCAACAAAACCACTTGTGAAAGAAGGAGCAGAAGCTGTAATACTTGGTTCATTCATATGTGATTCTCTGAATAGAGCCAGTATATTCCAATAAAAGAAAATATCTGTAGCTCAGGGTTGAACTGTAGAGCCTTTGGTGCTCTCACAGCTCCCTTGAAGACATTTCATTACCTAACTAAGTAACATCATCAGTGCTGCTCAGCTAGTATTTCCTAAAACAGCTTTCCACAGGTGAAGCTGTATGTATATAATATAGCCACTGTTAAATCTACAAGAATTACTGTAAGAATGATGGCTCTGTTAAATACAACTGTCAGTTCTTAAGTGACCACAAACTGTCTTCAGTCTTCAATTAACAATCCCTAGAGTGAGTTTACTAAAAACTTAATGACTAACAATTATTCACACTTACCCACTACTTTTAAATTACATCATTATTCCTAATACAAAATGGTGAAGTGTTAACTATGCTGCAGCACAAATTATCAGATAGCAATCTAAAAACAAACTCTCAAATTATCCTTTTAATTAAGTTTGAGACACTAAAATATTTTAAAAAAAACAAAAAACCACCACCTATTCCTATGGAAAGAAAGATAGGAATGAGCACAACTTCCCAACTTGTCTATTGTGTCCAGGCCAATTTCGAATCTAATGGTTTCTCTTCAATTATCTAGAAATAAAATATAATTTGTGTCGCATAGATGTGTAAAAAAAGAAAAAACACTTAAAGCACTTTTAACATTCATGCAATAAGTCTAATAAGGAGAAAGACCATTAGCTATTCTGAGTATTCATTAAAATGATAAAGAATTAAAATAAGGGAATAAATTAGAGGTCAATCCACTGCAAACACGATTGTTACGTTGCTGATCACAGTAAGAAATATAATTAATACTGAGCTCATATGCTTTCTATAGAAAAAATTCTGGGCTCTGCCCTGATATTTCCAAGTATTGCTACTTTTTTTTTAAGGATATCAAAACAGCAAGACAAGTTACCAGAAGGATGGGAACATAGAGTGAAAGAAACCATAATGTTTCTACAGAGAACATGCTACAAATTATATAAGCCCATGTCAAAAGCTGACATGGGACTACTTGTCCTTTTCCAAACAAAAGAAATAATAGCTATGATCATTGATATTTTCAGGAAAACAGAATTTCAACAAAATGGCAACACTGATATGAGGAAACCATGACATAAACTCTGTGCTTCCATACTTGCAGCCCAGCATTTGACCCAACTAAATGAAGTTAATTGCACCAGGATGTAATTTAATCATTTGTCTGCATGCTCCCACAGATGCCTACCACCACGCTATCTTTTGCTAATATCTTCTTTTCCTTATAGTTTATAGTGTACTTTATACATATATATGGGTTATATACACATCTATGTCTGCCTCTTCTAGTAGTCATTGAAGAATTTATACAATAAATTTATCTGAAGATGTCTGGAATGAAAGACATGTTCTCATCTTCTATAGCTTTATTCAGATGTTTTAAAATACTGTATCTACCTGTATCTTAAATTTTACGTACTAATAAATAAAATATTTTCACAAGATAGTATTTAAGATTGCAAATGATTGGCAACTTCTTTTTTGTGTTTTGTTTGAAAGTCTTTCCCATGTTATTTCTACTCTTCCCAATTATCTCTGTTCCGATACAGCTTGGCTAACTAAATTATTCCAGGTAGCTAATTAACTGCACTTTTGTAAAATGCCTGGAGTTCTCAACAATCAAACTATCCTTGTCCTTTTGATTTTTCTTTTAATAAAGGAAGTACAAGGTATACCAATCCAAATTAATACTGCAAACCAGAGTCGGAAGTTTAATCTTATTTTGAAGAATTCACACATTACTTCAATGCACAGGAGAAACAACTTAAGCTTCCTCTTCTAAATATAAATCACAGAGGCAGCTAAACCTGCATACTTTATGTGGTCTGCAATTTAACTCTGAATTTCCTGGTAGATTTCACTGATGTAAATATTTGTTTAATCACCAAATAATAATCCTTCATACATTCACAGAATTATAAAATTAAAAGAGACCAGGTGTCAGTATTCCAAGTAATACTCCCATATCGAACAGAACTCCAAGGCAGGTAGATTCTTCAAGAATAGTTTTATTGGATATAGCATATTGGCACAGGCTGGTGAAAACCAACTCTCAATGTTCCCACAGTTTTTACCTAATTAAAAGTGAAAGTTTTCTCCCTTCCCCAATCAGTCGGTCACATGGTCCAATCCAGGTGCCATCCGGTTGCCTAGTAACTTCATTCCTCCTCTCTCCGACCACCTTGGTTCCCAAGAGAAAGTATTTTGTTTTGCCTATAAAACACCAGCTATCTCTATTCCCCTCTCCCTATCCCTCAGCTCTAGTGTGGCAACACTGAAGTCTCAAAATGGCCTTGATCTGGTCAGCTTCAGGGTTGACACCATGAGGATTGCCTAATCCAATCTTCTACAATGAGGAACAAACAGTATTCATGAAAGGTGGCTATTCAGCCACTTCTTAAACCTCCAGAGATGGAGAAGCCATTCATAGAAAGATATTTCCACTGTGTATCTCAGGCCCAAGAAACCACAGTAAGAGCCAGGATAGAGTTCAAAAGCAGTGCAAATTTATTCCATGCAACCTCTCAAAGAATCTGATCTACTAACAGTCAAGGCTAATAGGCACCAAATAAGAGTCAACAGACATCAAGGGGGCTGGAGTTAGGTCTCTAACTGTGTAAAAATACTCAGTTATTTCGGCTTACTGTGTTCTGCAAATTGAAGTATATTTTTAAAAGGGCAATTTATCCTTCGTTTTCAACAATGGTGGAAACACTACTAACACTAATACTAAGATTCATCTTAATATTATTTCAATTTTTCTTTTTCCAGTTCCAGCTGAGTTCAGATAATGATTTTGCCATGATTATTTATATTTAGTTAGTGTTAATTGCACAAGGGCAATTTGCACTCAGTAAGCATGCAGTTAATTTCCAGAGAATACAAAGCAACAGTTTGTACAAAATCCCTCAGCTATCTGCTGAGAATGTACATTACCAGGAAATAGAAATATTTATAGTTTCGTAACTGTTTTGTTATACAGTAGGAATAAGAGATGCATTTGCCAAGCAGCATTTTTATATAAACAAAAAACTGGAATTAAAATCTTAAACACTAATATTTTATGCACATACAAAGAAACCAATTTTCTTACTTAATATGGAGCTTGAAAGAAAGGCAGAAGAGGAATAGGAGACAGACAGTTATATGAAATAAACAGTTTTTGTGGGGTTCCCTGTTGCTTTCCAACAAGCCAAAGTACTTTCAATTCACATTTAAAAGGAAAAGTATGCATATTTTGATTGTATTCTTATAGGAAAAATTAATATGAATCTGAATAAAATTATACGATTACAATAAAATAGCTTCTAACTGTTTGGGATGAAAAATACTAAAACAAGTAATACCAAAACAATATAGACAAGAAATACGAAATATATATCAAATGTAACTATATCATGAACTAAAATCTTCCAGATTTCTTACAGTTCACATATAGAAATCTATGAGAAATATCAAAGATGCTTTCTCATGAAAAAAGGATAAAGACTGTCATTTCATTATTAAGCTAATTAAGTGTCATAATAATAATAATAATATAATAATATAGTGCATATAAATGAATTTCTGAGTAATTCACATTTTTAATCACATGGCTAAAGATAATAGATGGAATTGTGCTCAATGGTTATTCCACCACAAAAACTAGATGGGCTCAAAGAGCACTTTTCTACTTTAAAATTCATTTATAAGCATTAATTTTGGTAGAAAATAAGAAAACATTAAAGCATAAAATAATTAGGCAGATATCAGAAACAAACTCTCATCCTTCTTAATAGTGTATCCTATGAAATTCTTGGAACAGGTGTCTGGATTAAAATATAGGTAACTTAATATTGAGATTAATCTCTAAATAATTATGGAATTCAGAACAATTGAGTTCAGTTTGTTCTAGAGCAAGAACAGTAGACTCTTGATTACAGTTTTAGATAGATCTGAGGGTGGAAAAGAGATCTATTGCACCAACTTTGTGCTAACAGTTCTGATATCCACAGATCTGATCCTATCTACATATTAATATATGTTGTAAAAGGTATACTCCATTTGTTCTCTTTGGCTCACTTAGATCCCGCTAGCAGTGGAAATATTTGCTTGCTTGGATAATCCGAATCTCTGCCTTTGGTTAATAGAGTTGTGTCTTCATTTTTGTACTTTTAATAATAATAATAATAATAATTTGGGTTTTTAATGTTAAATTCCTCAAAAAAGACAACAAAAAAGTTTCTAATTTCTTAAGATTTGCCCAAGAAAAATATGTTATCATGCAAATGTGTTTTTAAGAGTTGTGAGCAAGCAATTCAAAACAAGCTAGTCAATTTCAAATCGAAATAGCCATTTGCCTAGATGTCTTTCTATTGCACCCTATCTCTGTACATTTGAATAGCAGAAATGGCTATATTCTTTATATAGACAGTAAAATTATCAGAGCCTGCAAGGGTAGGTAAGGACAGATCAGTGTGTAGCGTGATCATGGTGGAAGATCAATGGTGGTGAAACATTTGTAAGAACTGAGAACTGGTCCTACCAATATAGCACATTTTGGAAAAACAGAAAACTACTTAAAATGTTCATGGAAAACATTCCTAAATTTCCCAAATACATAACACAAACAAGGTCTCAAGCTCTCTGCATCAGCATGCCTCCCCCTCATTTCACAAGCACCCCACCTTAGCTGCACTCACCAGTCAGAACGTCTATCCCCTCCTCAATGTGGATGGGCAGGGCTGGTTCCTCCATAGGGTAGGACACTGATAGAAAGTAATGAATGTTGGTAGTATTTGTTGCAGCAAATGAACACAGAAAGATGGATCCTTCTGAGCATTGCAATTAAAAATAATATTGGTGATGACAATGAGCAATCAACTTCCCCCCTATGGAGTTGCACCTTAAGAAACACTGAACTCCAGAACTAACTCTGATGAGTCTCTCATTATAAAAATGCAATCCTGAGAACCTTAGTCTGGGAAAACCTACTTCTGTTGGGAGCTAAAGTCTTCAGTATACCTGGATCCAATGGAAGATTAACAGGGATACAGAGCTTTCTTAAAATTAATTATTACAAAACAAAATGCCCAGAGTCACTTCGATAGTGGGAATGGCAGCATGTTAAGTTTAATAAATAAATAAAATAAATTATATTTTCTCAAGTTATTGTATGAAACATAAACACTTTAACAAGCCTAAAAGTTAACATTATCCCTGTGTAATTTTCCAAACTCATTTATTCCCTACTTAAAAATGTATTCCATAGAAGTTTAAAAGGACCCAAAAAACTAAGTCATTTATATTGAAGAGACTATGGGCAGGAAGAAGTATCTATGTGAAATATTACCCTATATGGGTTGTGCACATATACAGAAATAACCATTGACATTTCCAGTTTGGTTTTCATTACCGTAAGGTACCACAGCAATAATTTTGATGTGCTGTATTGTTTGCAGTCCGAAGATTACTCATATATGGGCTGCATAAATTGAGTCTTTATACTGTTTTCTTGTTTGCTGGTGCATTACTTATGATTTGCCCATTATTGTTATTAACAATAACAGGCCTGTATGTAGAATACCTGCCCTGTACTTCTTTCAATGAAATGTTTACTGAGATGTGCTTCTAACATGTGCATCTAAACGCAAATAGGTGATGTGTAGTGTTTTTGATGTGCATTTTAATGCATATCCATTTTAACACAATAGGCTGAAATAGACTAAACACTAGAGATTCACTTGTGATAGTTCTCTTCAATGATTTCGTTAGCTGAACTGGATCTTTTGGTTTATGTAACCTTTACATATCAAAGGTGTAGATTAAAGAATCCTTGTATGTCTGTAGATGAGATAAAAAATGTGCTATTTGGAATACAGGGTTCAAGGATACTGTACTATGACTCTTTTTAAATATAAAGACCACCTATTCCAGGGCTAAACATATATTCCATAGAATCCAATATATATATGTGTGTGTGTGTGTGTGTGTGTGTGTGTACAGTTAATATTTCGGGTATCTTCCCATGTAATTGTGAACATGTCCCTAAAAGGGTAGAAGCGACATTTCGACAGAATCTCATCTGCCATTATCAGGCTTATGTGAAGGGTCTTTTGCTGTAAGCCTGATGATGGCAGATGAGATTCTGTCGAAATGTCGCTTCTACCCTTTTAGGGATATGTTCACAATTACATGGGAAGAAACCCGAAATATTAACTGTACACACATATATACCCGTGAAAACTTACATAGACATATATATATGTATATATATGTATATAATATGTTTTCCCCAAAATAAGACCCTGTCTTATATTTTTTTGAACCCTGAAATAAGCGCTTGGCCTTATTGCCATGTGCTCAAATGCCTGATTGGGCTTATTATCAGGGGAAATAGGGTATTTTTTTTTTACTCAAATATAGCCTGTTTTTTTTATTACTAGAGTTTTGTCTCTTGAGCAAGGATTCTGGGAATTTTTAAACTAAGGTACTGCAACTTGCAAATGCTTGAAAGCTGCTACTCTATTCTGCCTGCTAAATTGAAGATCCTAAAGAAAGGAATGGGCTTAGCAATATATGCCTGCTAGATATGTACTCCCTTTCACATTAGTTTTGTTGTACATTACCCAGAATCACTTGATTGTGAATGGACAACTATATAAATGAGACAAATATAAATAAATAAATAAATAAATAAATAAATAAATAAATAAATAAATAAATAAATAAATATCCCTAAGACTGAAGTTTCCATCTTCTATAATGACAATTTCCAAGGTGGTTTGAGGCAGTAAGCAAATGAAACTATAGAAACCTGTTTAGTCCCAGGTTTGTGATGGAGAATATGTTTGTGTATAAAAGATATTAAGAAAAGCCAGCACAATATTTCTGCAGCTCTCAAAGGCCTCATAGAAAGCAGAAAAGACTACAACTTTTCTTTTTCCTTCCAGCTTTGTCACTTGGCATACTTATATATAATACTCTTCCATCTGACAGCAGGCCCTATGAGGATTTCATTTGTCTCTTATAAAATAATTTTAAAACTCTGGCTCTGAATCATAGTAATAATTGAAAGAAGCCATGCCCGGTCTGAGTCAGTACATCAAGGCATCTATCCAACGTGGACCAAGGGACTAAGTTTCTATTTTAACTTTGCAATTGATTTCCTTGAATTGCTGACCTGGTCTTATTACGTTGACATTAGTAAATACAAGGCATATGAAATGGATTTATCACTGGCTCCTTTGGCTAAATGATTCTCTTTCTCAGCCTACTCTAAATTAATCTAATTAAAGAGCATGTGCTCCAGCAGGTGAGAGGAGGAAGTAAAAAAAAAAAAAAAAACCACTATTGTGCTCAGTTACATTGGATTTGCCCTTTCCATGCTTCTTTAATGGCAGCGGGATCTAAGGAAGCAAATCCAAGTTAAATTCAAGAAAATTTGTCTATGCACACACCCTATTATCTACCGTACAAGAAAGAACAGATTGTGCACACTGCATGATGTTAATTATCTACATTCTAAAATTCTTACTAGGATTACTGAGAAAGTCAGCCAGTTCACTTTCCAGACTAACTAGGAATTGTGTTTAACCTATCTTGAAGGAGAGAGGACACTTTTCTTCTACCAAGATGTAAGAGACAAGTACTAATAATGCACTGGCTCAGTGAGAATTGCTATGTACCACTGGCTTTGGGTAAAGAACTTGGCATATACTGTCCTCTCCTCCTCCTATCTCTGTTTTTCAGAGTCTATTATCCAGACTGATAAAGTTAGATCTGAATTATAGGAGAGCTCATTTCTCCACTGCAGTCCAAACCAGTGGATTTGTACAAGAGCCTTTTTAGGTCATTGCACAAGCCAATGAAACAAAATGAACAAATACAGAAACCCTCTCCCTCTGTTCCTTCATTTGTAAGTGCCAACATCTTCGTTAAAAACTGAATGATAGGGAGCAATGATAGGGAACAAGCAACTTTCTAATTTTATATCATGAGACCAGTGCTGTTAAGAAAAAAATAGTCCTCTCACTTATATTAAGGGAAATGGTGTAAAAATGTAGAGATGCACTATTTTAGCTTTTAATCCATCCCTCCCTTCGTTCAGTACTATAACTAATAGTTTAGTGGTTGCTTTGCACAGTATACACTAGTGCTATGCACACTCTCTCTGTGTGGAAACTCCCTTGAAATGGTGTCAAATGAAGGCAGAAGCTGCCTCTGCACATTCCAGAAAATGGCAGTGGATGGAAAACCAGAGCAGTAGAGAAGGGCACAAACCTGCTTCGGTCATCCAGTTCTGTAGTTTGGCTAACAGTGGACTAGGTGTACATTTAATCTATGGTATGACAGAGCAGAGTCAGGGAAGAAAACCCTGTTTTTGTATTATAAAAAATTTATTTTGTATAATACCTAGAGAATACACTGTATGGACATTTTATCATTATGAACAACAAATGCATAATCAATAATGTAAGAATGATGAAAGCTCCTTCAAAAGGAGAACGCTCTCCCTTACTACTTCTCCCATTGCATGAATCTCCAAAACCCAAACAGACTGCCAGGTTGAAGGAAGTTTGCAAATACATTTCTGCAAAACTGGTAGTAGCCAGCACAGTATTAATTAAACATAAGTGTGCACTCTACAAGTTGCTTTTATTCTTAAGTCAAGTAAAACTTTAGCTCCACAAAAGCAAAGAACCGTGTTACTGAGAAGCTTTCTGAACGGATTTGTTATGGAAATGTAAGTTACCATCCTTGCTAATGAATTAATTTAAAGAAAATGAAAAGCAACAAAATTGTTTCTGAGCTTGCCATTATGTTAGGCACGGTGCACATACAGAATATAATATAAAACAAGAGCCTCTATACCATAATTGCTATCATAATTTTCTTTTCCAAAGCCAATTTACCTTTATCAAAGGAATATATTTAAACTTAAGAGAAATCTTTTCATGACTGAAGTACATATGATGCATTTCCAAATACATGGTTTTTAAGTTGGAATGCAAAAAGCATTCCCAAGAAGTATATGAATGTATTAGTTATAATTGTTCAAGGGGAAGGGCAAAATTCCATGGGTACATATATATATATATGCTCCCATGAAGAAAACGCTTCACAACCTGTCAAAATGTACGACTAAGCCAAAACTGGCAAACAAGTGTGTTAACTCCTTTCTGGCATCCCACATTGATTTTTGTGTCATATCTTTTATATTCCAAGCCACAAATCAAAGACAGCTTGTTCTATTTATTAATAGGGTCACTTGGGGAGCTTTTTCATCTGAAGATCAAGGTAAATTGTCTTAAATAAACGTTTACCACAGCTTGGTGTTTTGTTTTCTCTAGGTGCAATGCAAAATAAGCCACTGAACCGCTCTCTAGCACTACCTTGTGGTGAGAACATTACCTGTTTACATAACATAAGGTCGTACTTCAGCTTGCCAGATGTTAACTATGTTGTGGTGGCTGTTAACTGTGAATCAACAGGTTGAGTATAGTTTACTGGGTGTATCTATTTAGGGAGGCTGCTAAATGTTGATATATACATTATATACCATGATAAATTATAGGAACCGCTGTGGAGTATTACTTGAAGTCTTATCCATATAAGGAACCTTGCAAATAGAGTAGAACCTAAAAAAACAAAGCATATCTTAGCCAAAGATTGGAAGCAGGAAATTCTATGCTGACTTGTTCTATTACCATTGAATAATGTCTTGTGGTGCAATCTTGAGAAAGTTTATTCAGAATTAAGTTCTACTGAAGTAAGTATATTTAGGATTTCAGCACAACCTTATCATGTTGGTTCGGAAATAAGTTCCTTTAACGTTTACTGGGTCCTCCAAACATATAAATGGGGCACACTGGATTGTAACTTTAGGCAAGAAACACACACCCCTGCTTGTTAATATGAGGTATGGTAAGCTGGTTATCTACAGACTCAAAAATTGGGGAATGTTGTGGAAATTATGTGTAAAATATGAGTGATCTGCACCCACTTTCTGATTATGACTCAGTCTAGGTACATAGGCATAAAAATGACTAGACTTTTGACTGGACAAGGTGTTCTAATCCATATCTGAGATCTGAAAATACTGTTTCAGCTCCATATCATGGATGTGTATGTTGGGGATATGGATTTTATTATCTTTCTATGAGCAGATGATAAACATCTGGATCCTGAATATTTAAGCCTATATTTTGCTAATATTACAATGTTTTTATTAACAAGCATAAAAAACACTTACATGAAAAGGAGTATCTCCAGAAAGGATTTTCTCTTCCTGTTTCAGAAAAAGAAAAAAATAAAAATAAAACAAAACAGAACAGAACAGAACAGAACAAAACAGAACAGAAAAGGACAAAGCAAAGCAAAGCAAAGCAAAACAAAGCAAAACGAAGAAAAATAATGATGCAAATCGGGAAAAAACAAATGAAGATCCTTTGGGCATAAGTAAGAAGCAATTTAAGGAACAGCTAGAGCTAAAGACTGTAATACCATAATTTTCTCTAATGTCCTACTTTAATGTAATATGCCAGCATGAAATTCTGGAAAGCTGCTCCAAAATTAGATTGATTTCAAGGTGAAATCTGTGAGTGAACGTTATTTCCAATACTGTACTACCTAACATGATAGAAGGCTTTTTCCCCTTGCTTTCTGTGACCTTTGTTTTTACAAGCTTTTTTCTAGAACGGAAAGATCTAGAATACAGGAAGGTATCTCATTCCAGATTAATTCATCCATTTCATCTAGGAGTATCTATTTCTGACTGACAATGGACTGATAGAGCCTGCTTAGTGTTTTTTCATAGCACCACCTGCCTGGTTGCAGGCACAGAGTTTGGCTTTTATCCCCTGCTCAAGTACAGGTAGTCCTCAACTTACAACAGTTCATTTAGTGACTGTTCAAAGATACAACGGCACTGAAAAAAGTGACTTATGGCCATTTTTCACACTTATGACCGTAAATCATGGTCACATGATTTACATTTGGATGCTTGACAACTGACTTACATTTGTATGATGGTTGCAGTGTCCTGGAATCATGTGGTCTCCATTTGCGACCTTCTGACAAGCAAAGTCAATGGGGAAACTAGATTCACTTAACAACTGTGTTACTAATTTAAGAACTGCAGTGATTCACTTAACAACTGTGGCAAGAAAGGTCATTAAATGGGGAAATTCACAACATCTGCCTCACTTAAGCAACATAAATTTTCTGCTCAATTGTGCTCGTAAGTTGAGGACTACCTCTATTACTTAAAAATTAAATGCTGACGTGTTTAAAGCTTCTTTCTAGTTTACTGGTATCTGTGAGTGAAGCAGTAAAGGTTTCAATCTCTTGTCAGGGGTCCGATTTGAATATATTATCCTCCTGTTTGGTCTGTGGAATGAATACCTCTTCAATTCCACCACACACACACCCGCATTACCAATTCTAGAGGATTAAGACAGAAAAATTAAAAGGCTACCTGAAAGACAGAGATTGGCATAAGAGATTGCTTTTCAGAATCTACAGCAGTGTTTCTCAACCTTGGTAGCTTGAAGATGGGTGGACTTCAACTCCCAGAATCCCCCAGCCAGCAGCGCTGCTGGCTGGGGGATTCTGGGAGTTGAAGTCCACCCATCTTCAAGCTACCAAGGTTGAGAAACACTGGTCTACAGGATATTTTTCAAGAATTCTGTAGGCTAATAAAATACTTTTTAACTTTGCTCTCTAACATTCCATAGTTCTGTTACCTACCTATGAGTCTACCTTCTCCAGTATGGCTTCCAAAGCCCATGATCATTGAGAAAGTATAAGGACAGCAGGCACAAAATCCTATATTTCTAAACACTGCCCGTATCTGTTCCTACCACTTTTAAACTATTCCCAGTGTCTCATAGTCACACAACCACATTTTCTGACTATTTTGCTGAAAACTAGCACTTCTGGTTTTCGGCAAAATCATAAACCATACCCATAGCAAACTAGTGGTTTGCTTAACAATTGCATCGTTCATTTAATGATCATGGATTTACTTAATAACTGTGGTCTCTTAACGACCGCCACAAAAAAGATTGTAGAGTAGGGTCAATCACACGACCAACCAGTTTTATAACTGTCACAACTCATGACAATTATGGACAGGTTCTATTAAAGTCATAGGTCAAGGATTACCTATACCTAGATAAACCACTGAATAATGTTATGCTACATGGATACTGAAAGAACAACAAATTTGTTATCCCTCATTCCCATTTTCTGTAAACTATGCCTTCAAGATGGGCCACAAATTATGATTCTCAGAATTTTTCAGTCAAAACGCTACCTCAAATTTTATCTAAAGCTGATGTTCTGACTATATTTTAAATGTGCATAGCATAGTACTGCTTTCAGATGTTTCGGTTTCTCCAAATGACATTTAATATTTAGTACATAGGATATCATACAAAAGGAAAATAAATTAAGAAACAAAATAATTTAATTAAAAATTAAAAATAATTTAAACCAAGAGTACTTGAAACTCATAAAACTGTCAGTTCAAGTTCCAATCAATGGATAAACCAAAAGGATAAAATTCCTACCTTGTATACTTACTTACAGGTTACTTAAGAGAATCATGTATCTTGTCATCATTACAAGAGTTTCACATATTATTTAACACCATGCTTATTGCTTACTCCTGGCACAAATATGTATGTTAAAGAATAAAATTCAGCAACAGTCCATAACAGCAAGAATAAAATTGACCAAAACTTAAACTATCAAGACGTGCTACATGAACAACATTGTTACAACCACTTTATGTAGTTCCCTTTGCATTACAATCTAGCCTAGAATTATGTTTCTAACTATTCATGCCCTTTTAACAAACTACTCAATAAATCTGGCAGCTATGAAGCTGTTACATATGATCACTGGATAGGTATAAAGTTTATGTATTTATACATCCTGAAACAAACATGTTAAAAAGTTATGATAATTATGTAGTTACTTACCACGCACATCTAAATTATATTAAAGTAACCAAAATATCTTTACAATCCCCAAAGCATGTCACAACTTTTGAGCAACCCCTAATGTTTGGAAATTGAAAGTCAAAAAATTTGACACGCCCTAAATGGATCGCTTGTCAATCAAAAAATTGGCAGTTCAGCGGTTCGAATCCCTAGTGCCGTGTAACAGGGTGAACTGCTACTACTTGTCCCAGCTTCTGCCAACCTAGCAGTTTGAAAGCAGGTAAAAAAATGCAAGTAGAAAAATAGGGACCACCTTTGGTGGGAAGGTAACAATGTTCCATGCGCCTTTGGCATTTAGTCATGCCAACCACATGACCACGGAGACACAGTGCTGGCTCTTCAGCTTTGAAACGGAGATGAGCACTGCCCCCTAGAGTCAGGAATGACTAGCACATATGTGCGAGAGGAACCTTTACCTTTAAATAGGTCTCTGAGCTAATTCATAATATTAAGCCTATGCATATGACTGAGAGAACAAATAAATGAAGTAAGCATAGTAAATGCATTGCCATTATTGTAACAGAGCTTTTACAAGATAACCCTGGATGTTTCATAATTGTTCACTGAGGATATCAACACACATACACAAGCTAAAGAAAAGTATAAGCTTCTTATATGAATAATCCCAGTCATGATCTAAAGATCCTTTCCATGCTACCTTTATTATAGGAATAGACTGGTTCATATCTATAATGCTCATAGTTCAAGAACTGTGAACAACTTGGCATAATGAACAGAAGTAATTAGCTCTAAATTTGTGTAGTGGTCAATAGACCCAACTCTTTTACTACTATTTTCTAAAAGCAGCACTTGGGAGATTTGTGAATGAAGCCTTTATATCTCTAGTCATCTCCAAGGAATGAAGACGCTGTGCTCCCTGTTTTTGGCTGAGTAACTGACATAAATGTTATGCCAATATTATGAAGAATAATGACTATAGCTATAATTGAACTATCTGAGTAAATGAGCCAGCCAGCCCTGTATTTTCTATTCCAGTTGTTTTTCCACTTCACTCCCCTTTCCTCATCCCTTTGAGTTTCGGTCCTTGCCTTTGACCTATGGTTTTATCCAAAGTTCATTCTCCTGCCTTCTTCTTCTCTTCTTTCCTCTAACTCTTCTTTTTCTCTTCTTCTAACACAGTATGAGATAAGAGAGTAAAAAGTAGTACATAGTGACATCAGTTGGCATTGCCTCAAGTTTCTTTGTGCTATTCCTTAAGAGTACAGAGAATTCTGATTCAAGGGTTGGGATTGGTTTAATGATTGCTGATGTCACAAACACATTGTTTTTTCTTCCCCTGCAAGCAATCTGGTTCTAAATAGTAACCATGGTGCACTGGAGTGTAACTCTTCTTGGCAAGGCTTAAGATTCCCAAGCCAAACTATTATCTTGCCCTCATTTAATTGATTGAATTTATTTGCTGCCCATTTCGCGTTGAAGCAATTCTGGGCATCATAATACATCATATTTTTTTTAAAAAAACAATCAACAGTAAATATTCCTAACCCAATAAAATGACAATGCCAGCAAAGTAAAATAATGGATACAGAATGGGGAAGGGGGGAGCCGGGGGGCAGGGGGAGGGTTGTTGGATTATCTTTTAATTAATCAACCACCTCCAGTGGGATGCTCCCCCAGTGGGACCCTGAACCAGTTCTTAAGAAGGATGGAGCTGATCTCACCTCAGGGGGTAATATTCCAAAGGGCAAGTTGAGCCATTGGCACAGAAGATTCTTCTCCTGGACCCCACCAGCAGAAATTCTTTGACTGATGGGATCCGCAGTATGCCCCTTTTGCCAGTGTGAATGGGGCAGGTAAGTCCCATCGGGGTGAGATGGTTCCTCAAGTAACCTGGATCCATGCCAAGAAGGGCTTTAAAATCTCAAGTGTGATGGTAAGCAATTCAGGAAAAGAATAGAGTACTTTTCTAAATTCAGGGGAGGAATATTTTTCTCAGGAACTTGATCCCCAAATCCAAGGCCAGATTTTGTTGCTCCTTTCCAACCAAAACTAACACAGTAGGCAGAGTCAAGTATATATTTAAGACAGGCACCCAAGTAATCACAGTAGTGGAAATAATAATGTGTATGAGGTCATAAAACAAATCTTGCCCTTTTGTGTTAGCAATCTGACATTGAACACACAGATGTAAGTCAAGTGGTTTATGTTTAGATGTCATCATACACATTTCATCACTTGTACTCCCACCCCCTAGTGGACGTCCATGCATTCTTGCTGTGGTTTATCGTATTGATAGATTATGTGCTATAGGTTGATGTCA